TTGTTTACTTAAACTATTATACTTTTTTTATAACAAGTACAAGTCAGACATATTTATATTCAGTTTCTCAAGATTTTTCAAGGAAAATGGCAACGAAAAAAAGAAATCTAAATATGCTTATTGAGAAGAACCGCCTCGCGCGGAGGAAGTCGCGTAGTTATCTAAAGTCACCACTGAAGAGATCAATGGAGTTGATCAACATAATCTCGTAATTAGTTCCTATTCGTTTCCTATTCGTATCCGCGCGCGCATGCAATCGTTCATTTTGATATCGAGAGCGAATGTCAAATATCGATTTCTTTTTTTTTCTTATTTTAGGCAACGCCACGGGGCGCATCGCTGCAGTGTTGATGGGTGCATTGCGCGCCTGAACGTATGCAATGCAACGTGCATCCGTGCGCGAACGAGAAGGTCGTTCCACAGGCGAGCGAGGTGCGCGCTGACTCATCCGCTATCTCGCTCTCGCACTCATTAAGCCGATACGGCGTCGGCGAAGATCAAAGCTCGTCTCCTACGGAGGACCGCTTAATACCGGGTGGCGCGCGAGTTAAGAGTGTCGTAAAAATTATTAACGGTTTCCTAACGCGCTGTCTCTCTCTCTCTCTCTCTCTCTCTCTCTCTCTCTCTCTCTCTCTCTCTCCCCCTCTCTCTCTCACGCACACGCTTATCGTCGATCGATGGCATCGCGGGGTGCATTCGTCAAAGAGGACAATACGCAAAGATCGCTTCTTCATCTTCATCTTTTTCCTCCTCTTTTCCCTCCACTCGCCGATCACGTGGTATTCTTTTCTTTTCTTTTTCTTTCTTTTTTTGACAAAAACTTATCAACGGCTGCACACATTCGTTCGTAAACGCACGCCCGCTCGCTCGCTCGCAAAAGTCGCGAATGAGAAAGAACGACAACGCAACGCCTAATGAAGTCGCGTCGTTACGCGGATATTACGACGACAGTTTAATGCGTTAATCGCGCACGGCTTGCGATGCTCACCCGTGGTGATGTGCGACTTAACGAACGGCATGAGAGAACAGTCGCCTTTCTCTCCCACGCGCTCGAAAGCCCATCCACACGGATTCGAATGGTCGCGCGTAAAAAAGGCCGTACGCACAGAGAAGTCAGTCATGAGCTCGAGGTAAATATTGTCGTATCGTTGAATCCCATGTACAAATGCGATCGAGATCGGCTTCTCGGACGCAAGCCCCTTTGAATCGACCATGTCTGTATAGTCAGTGGCGGAGAGACTTTATCTCGAAATTTTTTTTCAGAACGCACCAGTGTTTAATGAGCGTTCAATTTTATTTTTTTTAAATTTATTATTTTTATTTATATTTTTTATTAATAACCAATATTTAATTTATCTTCTCTATTGAGTACAAGTGCGTTACAAAATGTTTCATTGAAAAAAAATTGCGACTTGTCTGCCACTCTCTGACTATATCTTTACCAACCAAATTAAATTTAAAAAATGTATATAAGATTCAAAAGTGCCTGGACACTAATAGCACTGATACTTATCTCTAGACATTCTTATTTTGATCTTCAAGTACGAATATTTAAACTTTTAATATAGAACACAATATTGAACATACATATATGTATTCTATGTTTTTTAAGTTTAGATAGTCATATTTAAAAACCAAAACAACAAGAATGTCCAGAATTAAATATTAGTTATCATTTACTATGTGTTTTACTAATGTCCAGGCATTGGTACTTTTTTTTTACCTCGACTGTCAGATTCCGCGTTTAAAATGATAAACACAAAACAAAAACATTAACATACTTAAGCCTGAATTTCCGTCTAAATCGATGTGAATCAATGTTATGATGACAATTGATCTACATTGAAATTCAGACTAAACGTGATGCAATCTTGTAGTTTTGTGTCCATCACTTTGAGTACAGGCTCAAAAAGTTTACATACGTACATGCTCATTTCTCGCATCGATAGAATCGTTCGATATCGTGGATTAACTGCAAAGATGAAAAAAAGTCAGGCTTCATTCGTCTAGGCACCACTGCGCGCCGACGATTCACGCGGGTAGCGCAGCTGCGTGCATCGTGTGTGTCGCGCGCGGCTCGGTGTGGGTAATGTTTTTGCTCCGGGGGAAATAGGAACGCGTGTGTGGTCTAGAATCGACTCCCCTCGCTAGTCCCCGGGTATCCTAGCAACGTGAAACGCCAAGGCGCCTCCGCCAATCCTCTCCGAGTTCCCGACGCTTCGGCCGCGCTCGGCTACACTCGACTCACGTCACCGTCCGGTGCAGTGGCGCATCGATCGAGGGCGAGTCGACCGCGCGAAATCGGGCTCCCACGATCGATCGATCGATCGAGCACAATCGACCCGTCGCGCTAAAATTTCACGGAGACGCACCGCGACGACAAATCAGATTTCACTCGGCGACTCGAATCGGCCGGCGAATCGACACGGGGAACGAGCAACGGATGCTATTGGCGCGTTTGCGGAATGTTGAGGTTAGTTCCCGTCGCGTCGGTCGTGGGCCCAGGCGCGTACGCGCCTGCATGTTTGCGCAGTCGATCCGGAGTGCGCCGTGACTCGGGGAGAGGGAAAGCCGTCAACTATGGCCGGCGCGGCAGGCAGGCTACGGGAGAAATGTGGCAGCGGGTTTCGCTTAGTACCGACTTAGACTGCTCTAAGTGGTGGTCGTGTGCACGCTCGCGCCCGTCGTCGCATCCTCTCGCACGAGCACGCACTATCGGGTTGTCAGGTCGGAGGAGATCAGTGCGGAACACGGCCGACGGGGAACGTACGCGACTCGCACAACCGAGCGACGACGTCGACGACGGTAACGACGACGACGACAACAACGACAGTCGGTGGTGACAGTGGTGACAAACCGTCTGCGGCGGTGAACAACGGGTCCAGGCATTCCGGCGGACTGCTCTCGGCGTCGCACGTGATTGATCGTCGTGCGATTCACGCGGGAAAAAAAGTCACGTCGCGTGATTCCGCCGCTGTTATCGCGCCCAAACGCTCGCCCCTGTCATCAGAGATCGAGCGAGGGAAAGAGAGAGCAAGGGAGAGAAGCGAGGGGAGCCGCCGGGAGACATATTTACATCGCGGGTAACCTAAAAACCGATCTCGGCGCAGCGTGATATCGGTAGGACGCGCGCGCATGCGCGTTGCGGCTCGCTCTCGTGCGCGAATTTCAAGCGAGACGAGCGCGGGGTTCACGTGTTACGTGTACGCGAGACGCGGACAGTGTTGGTGAAGAAGTGCTCCCGCGAGGAAAAGTGCTACGATTTTGCCGGGCAGTGAGTGCGAGACTACGCGTCGTTTCCGCGAGTCGGTTATAGGTTCGCAACGTCGGAAGTTTCGCTCGGTGAAACGACCGCTCGTTTCACTCGCGGCTCGTTCGCCAAGAGAGAGAAAAAGAGAGATCAATGAGAGCTCAATCAACTGACGTTGGAAACCGGTGAAAACGAGGGGGAAGGTAATCGAGCGAGCGTGCGAGCGAGCGACTAGCCATTTCGCAAAGTAGTAACCGCGCGCGCGGGCGAATGCATGACGGATCATGGTTTCCGCGTCCGGTCCCATATCCACGGGGATCCTAGCGGGACGCCCTTCTGGGTCGCAGGGCTCGCGGCAGAATTGTGGCGCGGAGTGCGAGAAGGACGCACAGGCGGCGAAGAGCGCCAAAAGCCGGCACGAGTCGGACCTCTACGTCAGGCCCAGCTGGACGGACGCCGCGATAGCGTTGGATCAACTCGAGAAAGTGAGTAGTACGCACGGCTCTTTAAACCTGTTGTTTCCTCTCCGCCAAGTCAGTATCGGACTAGCGGTCCCGAGGGTTAAGAATGGGCGGATTACAAGTTAGAATTCGACTAACCAGAGATTTACAATTTTAAGATTTTAGGCCTTTACTAGAGGTTGGAAACAATTTTAATTTGTCGCTCGCTTTGTCGAGAGATAAAATTCAACTAATTTTCGAGATCTCTAATTAGAATTTTTTTTTTATTTGATTATCAATTGGTTTTGATACTTTCTCAACCGATTAGAATTCGACTAATTTTTCAGATTTTTCATTAGAGATTAGAGTCAATTAGTTTTGATCTTGGGGCTCTCCTGAAGAGAATAAAACACGAATTTTGGAGATTTCTAATTAGAAGTTTTTAATTAAAAGTTAATAATCAATTAGTTTCGGTCTCGGCACGCTTTGTCGCGATTAATCCAGTTCAATTCGCAACCCTCAACTTCCGATATCTAGTCTGATACGGATTTAACGTGTTATTAATTAATGAATCGTTTTATCGTTCAAAATATTCTCTTCGAGAATTGACTGTCGTGCTGATACGAGCATTACGCGTTAAATTGATTCTCGATGATACGACAAGATTAATTGAGACACGATCAAATGATTTCTCTATTAGCGATTTTTACGCGTCGCGGAGAATCACGATTCGTACACGTTGCGCTAAATAGATAACAGCGTCATCGAGATGCTTGATTTGCGGCTCAATTAAAATATAAGCTCTTGGTACAGAGGTAAACGTGTGTAAATCGATGATTAACGAGACACGTGTTGACGATCGGAAATTGTATTGCAACGGACGACGGTTAGCTCTTGTCAACTTAATCCAGGTCTACAATAGGTGTAGAAAGCTTTTATGCTTTAAGCCCAAAACCGTAATTTTTGACAAACGTTTTCTACTATTGCTTGAAGTCATAATCCCTAAGCTTTGAGCGAGTTAGCCAGATTTCAATTGTAGCGTAGAAAACACTTTTTGCCAGAAATTATAGGCATTTAGAGCGTAAGATTAAAAGTTGACTACACCTATTGTAAACCCGGACTTACATCGGTCTCTTACGGCGACCTGCTTTGAAAATAACGTCTCGATCATTCGTCGTCATCTTTACAAAACACTGCCTTTCACACTGATCGTTCTGTAATTGCGGACAGCTCGGGGATGATCTCGCTGGTCGAGCGGCTTAGAAGTTTGAAGCAAAACTTCTCACGTGGAGCTACTGCCGTTATTCATCACGCTTGTCTCTCGAGCTTCTGTAGCTCTCTGGCCGCTTCAGGGCTAACCACGAACTTTCACATAGGCGGGTGGTCCTGAAGCGTGTTTTTCGTTAGACTCTCGAAAGGTGGGACTCCGAGATCGAATAGATCGACTTCCTGGCGAGGTTGGCGACCAGGAACGCGCCATTCCCGACGTTTCTATAAGCAGAAGGATCTCTTGGGATCTGTTGCGCGCGAGATCGGCCCTGCCAGATTGGTCCCGCGAGATTCTTTCTCCTGAACAAAATAAAATGTGCGTGCCGCGTGAACCGGATGGTAGGCATTTCTCGCCTCCTTTGCAGAAAGACAGAGAGAGAGAGAAAGAGAGCGAACGCCCACTTTGAATACGGAACGATTGGCGGTCGCGAGTAGCAATACATTTCCTTTTTCCACCCATCGATCGTGCGATCGGATCGTCTCTCTCTCTCTCTCTCTCTCTCTCTCTCTCTCTCTCTCTCTCTCTCTCT